TCCACACCCGCACCTCCGTCCCCCGTCACCAGCCGGGTCAGACGCCGAGCGACCCGCTGTCGAAGGATCAGCCTCAACTCAGGCTGCCTGTGGAATAGCAACGACTGGAGACAGTGGACAATAGTCCGACGGAGGGCCGCGGGATGCGCCGCATGTCACCGACGTGGTCCTCTCAGCATGCCGACGAGCTCACTCAGGTCACGGGCTGACCCGACCGGCGCGACCGGCGGACAGACGGCAAAACAAGGCGGGAGTCCAGCCGCGCATCCGTGGTCCGCATGGATGGCCGACTGTGCGGCAAAAACAAGGATGGGCAGTGGTTGAAGTCACTTGGAGATGAAAGCCACTAGTATACCTGGTTCATTCTACAAGGAAAGATTGCCTCAGCATGCGCAAATAAGAAGGAACTCATTTGCGTTCGTGTTGATCGTGAAATTGCGCGGGGCCTCGCTACATCACACGACCCAACCTTGACCTGGCATTAACAGTCTGTCACTATCAGTCAGTTATCACACTATGATGGCAACAAACTGTGATGTCGGACCGACTCTATCGGAAAGTCAACAGAAAGTTGAATTGCCGATTAGAACAGTTTCGGAGCGAAGGCAGATTAGAAAAAAAAAATCGAGGAATCATGGCTCTAAAACTTACCGCATCACATTAAATACACAAATAAACGACAAGCAATGGTGCAAGAACGTTTTCAGCACCCATGCAAATTGTCTCTTTACAACGGAGCAACGTATCCAGTGACTTGGTGTGGCGGGCGGCTTATGCATAGCAGGCAGGGTGGGAGCGCCGGGAGCGGGCTACCAAATGTTTGGCCCCGCAGCCCACCGCTCAACACCCACCTGCACGCTATATTCACCGCCTGTTTCTACACGGAGAGCACTTCATCAGCGCCACACCCTTTTTTCCGCCGCCCGCCGGCACGTCTGGAGAAGTGGAGAGCTGTTGATCGCCTATTTCTGGTCGGCAGCGGCGTTTTTCGAGCGATCTCCGCAATGTTTACCGCTAACGCCGACAGAGAAGAGGACGGCCCGGGACGGCGCTCGCTCAGCCCTGCCAGCGCTGTCTGCTAACCGAGGGGTCGCAGCCCGGCCCTGAGATCCCGGGAGGGTTCTCGGGAAGGGGTGACACTTCTCGGCAGTGCTGGTGACGTTTCAACGCCTGCACGCGCCACAAACACCGCTGGTGCGCAACCACTGCCGCCGCGCCCTGTTAATTGCCGCTCGGTGCCAGATTCGCCACCGGCGCGCCAAAACACGTCACGGAGTAGCGCTAGCCTCAATCGGCACCAGCAACACGCCAAATTATGCGGACAGTCAACGGTGCCAGTGTTGTGCGCATTTACGAACTATAACGGCACTATGCTAACATGTTTGACAAATGACAATCGTCAAAATACAGTACCGTTGCATACAAATTGCTAGCATTTTTGCTTACAGCTGTAACATTTGAAGTTTTTTTTTTCGAGCGTACTTCTATCTAATTAACCAATCTCATAAAACGGAAGAAATGCCTAGTTAAGTGGACTTGGGTATTGCCCCATCCCACCTCATCCTGATCGGTCGTGTCTGGTTTAGCTACCGTTTCGTGCTCTTCATATCTATGCTCGCCTTGGCTCATCGCCAATGCAATCGGGGGACGGCGATGGTGACATGCCCGACAGTCGGCACACACGGAGGTTGACCCGAGGGTCACGAGCCGAGGGTGCAGTGCCGCAGTTGGCAGGGGAGCACAGGGCACAACAGTGTGTGCCCCCCAGGGCGAAAGGCCGACCGAGCTGTCAAAATAAGGCCCCGAACCACTCTGGGCCCTGGGTGCTGTCCAAACGTCGCAGCGCTGCCAAATAACAAAACGAACTCCCCGAAAAGCCGGGACACGCACCGTCCTCTTCGGTCATCCCTCTGACGTCACCACTCCCAAGGCCGGGGAGCCAGCCTCCACCTCTGACGTCATCAGAGGGGCAGCGTCCACCTCTGACGTCATCAGAGGGACAGACTCCACCTCTGACGTCATCAGAGGGACAGACTCCACCTCTGACGTCATCAGAGGGACAGACTCCACCTCTGACGTCATCAGAGGGACAGACTCCACCTCTGACGTCATCAGAGGGACAGACTCCACCTCTGACGTCATCAGAGGGACAGACTCCACCTCTGACGTCATCAGAGGGACAGACTCCACCTCTGACGTCATCAGAGGGACAGACTCCACCTCTGACGTCATCAGAGGGGCAACATCCACCTCTGACGTCATCAGAGGGACAGCATCCACAGCTGACGTCATCAGAGGGACAGTGTCCACATCTGATCCCATCAGAGGACCAGCAAGCTCTTCTCCGACGTCGCCAAAGAAACAACCAGATTCCAATCATCGCTAAAATGGATGCAAATTGCCGAAATATTGCTCACATTGCTTCCAGCCAACAGATCGGGCTGAGGATTGTCTGGTTAGACTGGGGGTGACAGTGCCGGGTCGAGTTCGATCACTTCTGTCTGTGCGCCGGTTTCCGTCAGCGCCAGCCAAGCTGCTGTCTGGGCCAGGTCTGCGGACGGGAAACTAATGAACCCAGCCGAGCGTCAAAGGACGGTAAACAACACATCTGCCGACTGGGTCACTGTCGCCCCTCGCAGTGCCGCACCCATGGACCACAAGCTGCGACCGAGGCAGACTACCCGTCATAGACAAACGGCTACCCTATTCCAGCGGTCATCAAATGCAGACGGCTGCCAAAAATCAATGTGAGAAGTCAATTGACAACTATTTCATACTACATCAGACTTGGGGTCGAGGTCGAGGTCGAGATCAATATCATATGGAAAGACTCGTCGACTGATTATTCAAATAAAATGCGCTCATAGCACGCGTTATGTTTTTGCCGTGGATGAAAGACACCGCCGGTTTCTTTAGAGCGCTGGTGAGTATGGGCGACTCGGGGTCATCACGATTTCGCTTCAGTAGGTCGGGAGACACACGATCACGATCGAGCAGCATACAGATGATCGCCCTAGAAATGGCTGATACGTGAGTCGCACATATGTTCGACGAGTTCATCTTTGTCAGGCGCTTTTGTCATTTAGGCAGGTTTAGCATCCTCCAGGTGACAGCTGAGGTCCGCCTGAGGATTCCTATTACCAAATAAACATGTCGTTTTTCTTCGAAGTGTATAGTAGAAATGGACTGGGTGAGAGAAACAGCACAGTATTACGATTCTTCGTCATTTTTAGTGATAAATGAAAAAATACTGATGGTAGAGACAGAATGAGAGATGAAGGGAAAAATGAAGGAACGGGAGAGAAAGGAGAGAACAGATGTGCATGCGGAGAGGTTAGTAGGGGGACAGAGGGAGATAAAAAAAACAGAGCGGCAGAGGTCCGTCTGTAGCGCGTCGTCCGTTTCCGGCACCGTGGCGCGCTCTGGAGAGAGGAGCGGCCGCTGCCAAGTAGCCGTCTGAAAATAGCGCCGCCATTATGAAGCACCGGTGGAAATAGCCCCGAGTACGCTGCCGGCTGATTTACGGCTCGTATTGTGCCGCGGCTGGCGGCCCGTGACTCCCGTGACAGCCCGGTGCCGCCCGAAATCCGTATATCGTACGGCGAGACGGGGACACCGCGACGGAGCCAGTTTCTGCAGCTGAACACCACACAGTCAGCCAGACTCATCCGGCGGGTCCGGCCGGGGTGAGTCTGGGTATTTGAAGAAGTGGCTTTCAGTAAGTAAACAGCGACGTCTATGTGATATACGTGAAGGCATGGCAGTTTGCAAGTCTTCCCAGCTAACACATTACTTATAAATCAGCCGATAAACACCCAGTTTTTCAGCGAATCATGACCATTTAAATAAAAATAATCCTCGTAAATTTTCCTAAAGCTCTGCATCACCAGAAACCATCAGGTGAGCCATTGAGAAGGCTGCGATACGGCCTCTCATACGACGCTCGTATTTCTGCAGCTGTGTGGTTTGGCAGCACTGGCATACAGCCGGGCCGTGACGTCATAGTCCGATGACAGATACACGTGCAAAGGCCGCACCCATGACAGCGGGGCAAGGTTGGACCAGCGGGGCAAGACTGTACCCATGACAGGGTCAGGGCTGGAGCACTAGGGACAGAACTGTACCCAAGACAGCGGAGCAGGGTCGCAGCAATAGCAATGGGGCCAGGCTGAACTACAAATGCCAGCGGGACAGGGCTGGAACAGGGGGACAGGACTGACTCATGACTGTCCCTGCCAGTTGCACCCTGACTGTGACCCAGCTAGCTTGACTCCATGACTGTCCCAGCCAGCTGCACCCATGACTAACCCAGCCAGCTCGACCCACGACTGTCCCAGCCTGCCCGACCCATGACTGTGGCCCAGCCAGCTGAATGATCGGTAACCGCGACCGGAAGTCTGCCTGCAGCACCGCCAGGAGAAGCCGCGCTCACTCACTTCCGTGGGTCCTTCTTCCGGACGCGCGCAGACCGGACAAGCGCAGACCGTCACCGATAACAACGAACGGCGGATGGGCCTTACAGTCGCAACGCGAGATAGCGATGCTTAGGTTTTTCGCGGATAGGCTAGTGTGTCACTGTCTGTGTTATCGTGGTGTGGTGCAAAACGAATAACTGAGGAGCACCTGATTGTGAAACTGAAAACTGAGGGAAGAGATAGATGAAAGGATGAGAGAGAGAAAAGGGAAAGGGAGAGAGAGGGAGAGAAGAGAGAGAGAGAGAGAGAGAGAGGGAGGGAGGGAGGGAGGGAGGGAGGGAGGGAGGGAGAGAAAGAGAAAGAGAAAGAGAAAGAGAGAGAGAGAGAGAGAGAGAGAGAGAGCGAGAGCGAGCGAGAGCGAGAGCGAGAGCGAGAGCGAGAGCGAGAGCGAGAGAGAGAGAGAGAGAGAGAGAGAGAGAGAGAGAGAGAGAGAGAGAGAGTGAGAGAGAGAGAGAGAGAGAGAGAGAGAGAGAGAGAGAGAGAGAGAGAGCTGCGTATGTGAGATGCGTGCCGTTGGGGACTGACCTCCAGGGGTGCGGGTTGAAGCCGGAACACTTCTCCTGACAGCCGAGACATGGCTGACCGCTGTCAGCTTCCGAGATCACCACGCTCTGCAACACAGTAGACAAGGGGGCGCGTCAGAGGAGCGAAACGCACTTACACACAGACAAGGGAGCGCGTCAGATAAGCGGAGAAACGCACACAGACAAGAGGCATGTCATAAGCGGGCTGAAACGAGATGATGTACAGACAAGAAGGGACGTCAAATGCGAGGTAAAACGCAATGTAATTTTTGGCTTTGAACTCGCTGCAGGATCTTGTATGTATATTGCTGGGAGTGGGACATAAAATTTTTTAGAGAAAAATAATCAAGCTGAGTGTTAGCAAAATCGGGCCTGCGCTTTTCACGTCAATAATTATTTAGCGGCAAACGGTGACATAACTTCATTTCTGCTCTCGATTTCTGAACGTTGACAGACAAAATGTTGATTAATATCGACATCCAAATGTCACCTATAAATCAAGTAAAAGTTTCTCACTGGGTCTAATTCTGAAATGACTTTAAATTGGAACCTTAATTATAAAATGTGAAGAAAGCGTGAAAATGCCGACGGGAACGTCGCGTTTCAATTATAATATTATAATATTATATATATTAAAGAAAATTGGACAACAAAATGCATTATTTACAACAAGATGTAAATATTATTCTTGCGCAGGCACGATTGATCTTTTTCTCGTGAATAACACTGCGACGAACCTTTCCACGTGCTCGTAAGGGCAGTATCAGCGCACAGCTCAGGTCAGCCTGTCTGCTAGTGCAGTTTCAGCGTGACCAGCGGTATGACCGGTCGTGGGACCGTCTCTGTGACCAACGTCGATCGGACACCAGCCCGGTGACCAGTCCAGTCACCAACCTGGCTCCGCTCCGTCGCTGACGAGATTGATGACAAACTGTTGAACGGCTCCCAACGCTAACAGCGTGGGCCACGGACGGCTGATTAACTAGCACCGGTCGGGCCGGGCGGTGACACCTGCCCACCCTGCTTGTCGGCGGCGGCCAGGAGGGGGCGTCCCCCGGGCCAGGATAGCCCGACACGGGTCCAGGACAGCCCCCCCTCCCCTCCCGACAGGCCGAGACTCCGGCTTTGGTGCAACCTCCCACCAAGGAGACAGCGAATGGTGACCATCGCCGACCGGTCCCTGCCCACCTCTCACAGACGGGGTCACGGGGGTACCGCCAGCGATGTGATTAACATCGCCACGGTAACATCGCTTTAATCAGACATCATTCCCGCAGCCGGCTGTCTACCGGTGCTTCCTTGAAGACGTCGCAGAATGGAGCGATCAGCGGTGGCCGTTCCAATAATTCACCGTCTATTTAAGCGATGGATTGATCAGAGACTTGTAAGTAGTATTTATGACTCGGTGGTAAGAGCTGGGACAAGGTTTCGCTATAGTGAGTACATAAATGACTGTATGTATCCACGTAAGCAAAGGCAGCGAAACACTTGATGCGCTGACCACGAATTATCATCACCATGAATATTTATTGGTTAATTGCTAATGCATGTGCTTATGAGACCGATTGCAAAATTTGACCAATGCAACGAAATTCACGACGAAGAAACTTCGCAGAGTGTAGCGCCAAGAAGGCCAACCCTGATTTATGCACATCAGGGTCAATGGAAAATTTTACAAAACGTATAAGCTAAGGAGGCATACGGCGCCAGAGTCACAGAGCCTATCGACTCCGTTTCCGTGTTTCGTCTGAAGATGGCAGCACCATCCACCGGCCGGCAACACCGGCAGATAGACCTGCCGCGGCTCGGCGCCGGTCGGCAAACGTGACGCACCACTGACCCATCTGTCGACGGCGCGGCGGCCACCACGATGCACCGCCTTCGATACGGCCTTTATTACGGCTATTTATACTGGTGCTCTGTTTGATTTCCAGCGGCCGGCACGCGGCAATGGTGAGCGCCCGCTGCGGCCGGCCGCCGCCTATCACCACCTTTTATAATGGCCATCGGCCGAGTGTCAACGTGTTTCGACTGGCCGAGCAAACACGTGTAAAAGGAGAGCAAACGGGCCAATGTAACTGGAGAGCGCATGTAAATAGGCGAAACAAGACACAGGCTCGGCCTGGGAGCGCGGCAGATGGTGCGGCGGCGGCGGAGTCGCAGCCGACGCGGACGACAAAAGTGGGCCAGTGACGAGCGACAGACAGAGCCGACGGAAATCGGAACGCAGACACCTGCTGGCTGTTGCAACAGGGAAGCGATGATATGAGACTATAAAACGACGGCATGGATGCTGCCAGCTATTGATATATTAAGTTTGAAGCTATCCAATAAATGTTATAGGTCTCCGTAGAGTCAAAAATGCCGAGACGAAAAAACAATGTGTTCGGATGATTGAGGCTATAACTTGTGCAGATTCATCAGTAGGGGAAAGTGGGGTAAGACGGTCAGGGTAGGTAAGACGGGCACCCCTTCTGCAGACAAAACCAATAGCGCTACGAGCGAGAAAAATTAGGACCAGAATTGCCTTTCCCACTACACACCACCATTGAAGTCTGGTGAATTTGTGTTCAGTCGATAATCTTTTATTTTGATTTCTTTAAAACACTCCTTTCATTGAAAACATCCAAAATGTATTGTGCAAGCTTTTGTGTGCAGCACTATAGAGTTAAAAACTCGCAATCACTTGTGGTACACTCATATGCCACAGTGCTCATTTACCGCGGATTTGCTTTGTCTGTATCAAATTGTCCACAGAGAAAAATCGTGCTGAGCTTCTGACATTGAGTTTGGGGTAAGACGGGCAACTATGAATCCAATGGGTCTGTAATGGTGAAAATATTTTTGTTGCTGTAGGAAAAAAAGAAGCACTTCTAATGAGAATATGTTCGATTCCGATACTCACAGACATGTTAGCAATATTCCTTCAGCACAGTTTATTCTCGAATAATGAATGTGAAAAACGGTTCTACATGGCTTATGAACTAGGGCCTATATACGAGCATGCGCCTTCTGCACGAATCTGGTATACTACCATTTCCGAAGCACTTGAGACCAACGAGCGACTGTATCAATGCGGCTAATCTCGGGCATTTGTTGCGAGCTGTGCTGGTCGGTGAAAGAAGCTGGCCGTCTTGCCTTACCCATGTGACCGTCTTACCCCATGGGGTGGGGTAAGACGGGTTTTTGTAAGGTTTTGCAAAAATAGCTGCAGTTTATTTGTTGAATCAGGTCTAAGTCTCATCTTCTGGCAAATGGAAGTAAAATGTCTACAAAAGGTTTTCACTCAGTTTTCCGTTTCTATGATGTTTCTAACCGGCCGAAAAATGGCTCCAAAGTTATGGTGCCCGTCTTACCCCACTTTCCCCTACTGTAATTGACGACACTATACTCAAGATCAGCTGTATGGTTTCCTCCTACCTTCCTGATTTATAACACCGAGCGAAACGTTGCGCAATCCGGTAGTCAGCGTTTGTTGGACCGTGCGGTACAGCATACCTTCAGGCGTTTACTACTGGTGCCATCTAGCGAGCAGACTAAAAACGAACGTAGCTCTATCTTCGCACACGAATTCTACGACGTAGCGTAAACTTTTCTTCCGTGTTTCACGAAACGCTATTGACACTCGGCTCTACACGAAAATGTTCGAGGCATTACTTATCTATGCGCTCCTTAATTTATTTTACATTGCTATTGGCCTCCTTGACAAGCATGTCATGGTAAAACTGCACGCATATATGGAACAAATCTGCTGCTATTCTACAACACATTTGAGAGGGCGCAATCAAAACAGCAATTTATTTCGCAAGCGCTCTCATTGATGGGCGAGTAATGATTTGGAGCATTCTCATGTAACTTTTAGAAATAAGAACATGTACTCTTAACTCCAGTGCCTAACTTATCCAGTCACGCAAAAAGCAGCGGAGATATTGCACTTGACAATCATTTAACCATAGACCTCTGTACACCAGAGGTCAGAGGTCAGGTGTACACCAGAGGTCTATGATTTAAAGGGACCCTCCCACCTTCAAAAAAGTTTGTGAATTGGCATGAAAGTGATGCCGCTCGGTTCAGAAAGAGCGAAAACGAATATCTACCAAATTTCACAGAAAAATATTCACCGGTTTTCAAGATATTAGACTTTTAGGAGGTAAGCTATGGTATTTCTGAGCATGATTAATAATGTAAATAGAGTGAATAACCTTATGCTCATGTTATATGTTGCAAATTGATATAATTAAAACTAAATTGATATATTTCGTTTTATATATATTTTTCAATATATGATATTGATATATTGATATATTTAAATTGATGCCAGCACACTTAGAAAATACTCAGGACTATCTGCAGAGACTGAGGTCCCAATTTGATGGCAAGTTCCCAGAGGGCACTATCGTGTTCTCTGTAGACGTAGCGAACTTGTACGGCAACATCCCCACCACTGAGGCCATAGAAGCTACGCTTAAGCTCTTCGACAGACATAACGATGACGTGGACACATTCGGCCTGACCCGCCAGGACATAGAAGTACTTTTGAGACACTGCCTAAACAACAACTATGTTAGGTTCGGTGATAAATACTTCAAACAGACCATGGGTGTAGCCATGGGTTCAAGAATTGCCCCTCCGTTAGCAATCATATTCATGAACGCCGTAGAGTCACTGCTTTTAACGTCCCCCAACTCTCAGTACCAGCCCGTCGCATACATGCGATACATCGATGACGTGCTAGGAGTATGGACTCACGGTGCAGACAAACTCGATGAATATTTCCGCTTCTTGAATGACTTTCACCCAGCGCTCCAATTCTCCATCGAGAGGACCGACAAAACAGCTGGTGGACAAATACCCTTTCTCGACACCACCATAAGTGTGCGTGACGATGGCACGTACAACACAGAGCTGTATATCAAGCCAATGGCGGCACCGATCATAGTGCACTACAGCTCAGCTCATCCCATGCAGTGTAAGCGATCCGTCCTGTATTCACAGCTTCTACGCGCTAAACGTCTGGGATCTGACAAGGCGGCACAAAAGCGGGATATGGCTAAGATCGAAACGCTGTTCCAGCATAACGGGTACCC